GCTTTGTCATTTTACAATATCCTTTGTGCAGTATTTTAACTTCCCTCAACTTTCCTTTACCCACCCTTAAAATGCAATCTATTTTGGGGAAGATGATCAGGAAAGTGATTCTAGTGGGCAGAAGTTTTTTTGGAGGGGATGAGGTTGTGAAGATATTTAAAAATTGAGCATGGTGATGGTTGTACCACTCTGAATTTACTTTAAAAAACCAGTTCATTGTACACTTTAGGTGATATGTACAGTATATGAATTATATCTCAACAAAGCTGTTCTTTTATTTCTTTTTAAATAAAGACCAGTCTTATAATCAAATGCAGATGTTTTTAGAGACCCCCCAGGATTTGCTTACTGTGTCCCACACCACGGCTGCGACTCCCAGTTGCCTCCAGTCCTGGTGGATCTGGATGGTGTGGTTTGCAAAGGAGAAGGTGGCAAGAGGCCTGTGGAATTTCTGCAACCCCATTCCCGCGGTCTCCTCATAGGGCACCAGTGCCATTTCCACTGTGCCAGCTCTCTGCTTCCTTTAACCTGTTGGACAAAAGAATCCTGCACGCGCTGGCCAGAAAGTGCATTTTCTCTTAGGTGGCCTGAATGCTTTTTTTATGGACATTTTATGGATTCAAAAGAATAAACAGAGATGTGGAAAGCTTTTGTTGAATTCCTTTTACATGGTTCTTCCAGTCTCTGGGAAGTGAGATGTGGCTCTGAATTCATCCCAAAGGGTGTCTTTGGGCAAAAGCACCCAGAACGGCACAACTCCTACAGGATGCCCTACATACTTTGCTGTCAGGACTCAGGGGGTCTTGAGAGTGAGCGAGGTGGCAGTGCCAACACGGGATCCGGGAGAAGGTAGCGCTTTCTATACTGCCCAGGCCACATGGACTGAAGTTGCACCGCCGAGGTGGGCAGAGTGTTTCTGCTGTTTTGTTTTGGTCTGGCCTCCCCTCAGCCATGGACCCACGCCTGTACTGAGACTGTGAACGGCTTGATGGTCCTACTTTTTGGTGAACAGTGGACACACTCTCACTTCCTGGAAACTGGCAGTTAGAAACTGACAGCTTCCAAGTCGCTCACGAGGAGAGCCCGGCCCTAGGTCCAGAACAGACTTGGGCGTCCGTGGCTGGGAGGCCTCCCCGGGCTAGGGGCCACCAGCGGTTTGAAGGCTGGCCACACCCCCAATTGTGGCAGGGGTCCCCTCTGGGACACTGGGCCGGCCTGGGCTAGGGGCCACTGGCAGTTTGAAAGCCGGTCACACCCCTGATCCAGGCAGGGGTCCCCTCATTGTGACCGATCGTTTGATTGTTTTGGTCATGACCCCTCTTGGCCTTTTATTATTAGGGCTAGAGGCCTGGTGCACAAAATTTGTGCACGGGGGGTGGGTCCCTCAGCCCGACCTGCACCCTCTCTAATTTGGGAGCCATGATGGCTTAGGCCCACTCCTCATGGTTCTCTGCTCTCTGCAGAGCCTGGCTGCTCCAAACCTACTGCCCAGAGGCCCTCTGTGACTGGGGTAGGATGCTTGCCTTGTCGCCGAAGTGACAAAGCAAGTGTCCCGCCCCGCCACTCTGCGCCTGCTGCCCAGAGGCCCTCCATGGCCAGAGCAGAAAGCTTGCCTCGTCACTGCAGCAACGAGGCAAGCATTCTGCCAGGCTGCTCACACTGCCCGCTCTCAGCAGCTGCCCCCCCCCCCAGGACTGGGGGACTCTGGTGGGGCTGAGGAGATTGGGCACTGCCATCTTGTGGCTATGGGCACGGCCATCTTTGTGACAGAGTGATGGTTAATTTGCATATTAACCTTTTATTAGATAGGATTTGCATAGACCAGTGGTCGGCAAACTCATTAGTCAACAGAGCCAAATATCAACAGTACAACAATTGAAATTTCTTTTGAGAGCCAAATTTTTTAAACTTAAACTATATAGGTAGGTACATTGTTATTAACTTAATTAGGGTACTCCTAAGCTGGCCTTTGCTAAAAACGTCCTCAATCTGA